CCCCCCCCCCCCCCCCCCGTTTTAATGGTGATTAAAAGACTGAACACCCTGGAATTTTCTACACCAGTCCAGTTCATTGTCAGTGTCTGTTTCCTTTCCTGTCGCATGCTGGGCTGTTTCTGCAGATTTCACTTTTAAGCTGCTGCTCCACTGACTATTTGATTATGTGAAACGTGTTGGTGGGGGGTTGGTCACCCGCTCACAGCTGTCCTCCTGCCCCCAGGGCCGGTGCACATTTTCCAGGCTGTGGACAGCGATCCCCAGCTCGTCCAGACCATCGACTCCCAGAGTCCCGTGGGGCAGGTGCTGCGGCTCAGAGTGGGAGCCCAGGTGAAATCCGCCCCCCCACAAGAGCATTACTGTTATTGTTAAACTAAATGATTCGTTCACTTACGCCCCCATGCCTGTTGCTAAGGTTATGCTGACTAAGAATCTAGATGTGCAGAGAGGCCTGGTCAACGGGGCCAGGGGTGTCATCATCTCCTTCCAGCCAGGAAGTAAAGGTATGTCTGTCTGTGTGCAGGTTGCAAGTGGGTGCTTAAGGTCTTATTAAATTTAATGACCCCCCCCCCAGGCAATAATACATTTTCATTTAAAACTCACTCTTTCTCTTTTGAAATATTTTGTTTGCTTCAGTTGTGATGGTTGTCATCTCTTGATTAATTTGCTATTCCAGCTGAATCTAAACACTTTCAGTTTAAATTAATGCCATAAAATAACATCTCCTGTTAAATTTCCCTTTAAGGCTGAGTTCTGCAGGAAAATGCACTTTTAATTACAGTTGTTAACCCAGTATGAGGCAGCATTTCCGCATGACATGATGGTGACCACGCCCACTGTCCCCGTGGCCCCTCCCCTACCAGGCCTGCCTGTTGTCCGCTTCCTGTGTGGTGTGACTGAGGCCATGAAGCCGGAGCGCTGGGTCTTCAAGACCACTGGTGGCCTGTACCTCAGTCGCCAGCAGCTGCCGCTCAAACTAGCCTGGGCTATCTCCATCCACAAGAGCCAGGTGAGCCCTCTGCCCAGCTATCTGCTGTATTCCTGGGTTTTAGCCACCAGGGGGCGCCCTTTGGAACATTTTGAGTTAGGGTGTGATTTGGAGGCATGTGGGAAGCCAGACCAACCCACGGATGCAAAGGCATGATTACACACAGAGGTTCCAAAAAAAACAATTTCTTATCTGTTTGTAGTAGTATGACTGTCATCAGCTTTGACATCTCTCTCCCTCCCTCTCTCCCTCCCTCTCTCCCTCCCTCTCCATGTACCCGTGCCCTCACGCAGGGCATGACCCTGGACTGTGTGGAGATCTCCCTGGCACGGGTGTTTGAGAGCGGCCAGGCCTACGTGGCGCTGTCCCGTGCCAGCAACCTGCAGGGTCTCCGTGTGATGGACTTCGATCCGCGGGTGGTGCGGGCCGATCCCGACGTCCTGCTGTTCTACCGCCGCCTGAGGAAGGAGCAGCTGCTACAGCAAGTGGGTGGCAGTGGCCCCTCCCCCTCTGCCCCTCCCCCTCTGCCCCACCCCTGCTCATGGCATCCTGCCCTCCTCCTAGAGTGATTCTCGCTCAGTGTCCAATTTTTATTTTTATTTATTTACTTTTTATCACAAGGCTATAAAGGTTTATATTCTGTTTCTTAAGGATATTTTGCAAAAATACATGGTACATCTGTAACATTGTAATAGCCGAGGGTCCGCGGTGTTTGCGTGCACCGATGTGAGGAGGCGGCTCCCAGGACAGTCTTGTACTGGGGCCCATTATAAGATGCTGACACAACAGGTGGGACCATATCTGCTTGCTTCTCTGTTCAAGGGCTCCATGGACGAGTTTGTGGAGAGAAACAACAAAGAGAACCAGCTGGTGTGAAGGTCCGGCTCCCTCAGGCGCCCTGTGCTCTCTGCCAGCTTCAGACTGGAGTTTCTGCTTCGGCTGTAAATCACTCCGAGTCCTGTTGCCTTAGTAACTGCTTCATTAACTGGTCTTGTCTAGCACCCACACAGATGGTTTCTGTTACCTTGCTGCTACGTGATTTAAGGCTATTTGAAATCCCCATTCAGAAGTCTCAAACAGTTAAATTAATGTAATTTATTTTTTAAATAAAATGTTTTTCATTTTATTTTGTTGAATCTGTATGTGTATCTGTACACAGGCGTGTGTTCTTCATGAGGATGCCTCACTGAAGTTCCTTTGCCCCTGGGCAGCGGTGCTTTATCTTCTCGTCTGGCTTCTGGGATGCAGAGCAAGGCGTCGTTCCGGCAATGCTCTACAAAAGTATCCCCAGCAAAATCCGCTCGTAGAGGGTAGCAGGTTCTGTTTGAGCAGATGCCAGTGTATGAGTAAGCCAACTGAAAGAAATGGCATGGTTTTTATGAGACATTAATAAGCGGGAATGCTGCAGATGCACGTCTTGTTTCGGGGGGGGGACGGCAAAACAGACAGTTTATTCCAGGGAGAGGTTACTGCTAATATCTGAGATGAATGACAGTGACTTCTGCTGATCAGATTGTGTCGCTTGTGAGGTCGGGTAAGTGGCGATTTAGCATATTCAGAGTCGGTACTGCCTTAGGACGTTCATCACTGTCAGCTTGTGCAGAAGCGTCGGGTTGGTCTGCATGCGAACCCGGGTGACAGATTAGCCCTCTGTAGATTAAGCCTCCTCTCCAGTCCGTATCACAGTGGGGGCCACATACGATGGTTGCCGTTTTATTGTTTGCAAATGGATGGTAATGAGGAACTACCAAACTTTCCAGAATTATGTGTAATATCTTTTCCATCATATAAAATTAGTACATTAAACATTTTCAGCCCATTTTAACCACTTGATGGTAGTTAATATTCAAATATTTCACCAGTTTTTTTTTTTTTTTTTTTTTTATTATTTATTTGCACTGCTTTTGTATCGGGTTCCAATAGGTACGGCTTCTTTCTGAATTGAAACGGGACACTGCTTCGGTGTTCGGCTGCCACCTTGTGGTTCACTATTTAAAATCACTTTGCGTCCGATTTCTAATAAGTGTTGAATATGCGGGCTGCTACTCACGGTGGCCGCAGTTCATGCCGTTACTGGTGTAGGCAGAAAATACTTTTCCCCTCAATCTTTATTTGTCTTTAAAAACGTACAAAGAACTAAGATGCATGCAAACCAATGCAAAATCCAGCTTCACAAAGAAACAATGCTTAAAAAGGTAAATAATGCAGAAGGAAAAAACACATTACTTCTAATTTTACTACTTTAAATTATCTAATTCTAACTAAAATATCAGTTTCCCCGACCTTCTTCCTATTTAATTGCCAAAGGAGTTTGCAAAATCTATCACCTCAAAACGAAGTAAAATGTGGCTTAGAAGCTGTCACTCTGGCTTTGTGAATGTGAAACTTGCCCAAAAGACAAAGCAATTTGATAAGCAGAAAGTCGACCTACTAACAGGACATTACTGAACTCGATACACCGAATCAGCACAATGGCCACATGTCAAAGCAGCTGTTGTATTACCTATTCTGTCAGTGTCTCAGATGTTAAGGTAAATCCACTTAAACTCTTCCAGATCTAATTACATTTCGGCTCAAAGATAATCTCGTTCCCCCAGCTGCCGGTAGCCTTGTTTGAATTTGTGCCTGTCAGCTTCGTGTATTGAATTACATGTTGCTTTTAAACTCTGGACAAAGATATCACTGAAATAAATGTTCTCAAAATGCATTACAGGTAATTTTATATTCTCATATGTATTAGGTCATTCTTATATACTGAAAATTAATGACTACAGACAAAAATATAAAGGAAACAGTATTTGGCAAAACAACCGCTGGTTAATTATTTATGCCAAAAGTTATTAGTGGGAGATAAACAGATTAAACATCATGATGGTATGAAAAAAGTATTTAAATACAAGTTCATTTTAAGTCTTAAGGGAAAATTCATCATTCTAGGGGCGGACTTGCATCAAAGTTAAGCAGCCACAATTCGGTAATTTGCCGTCAGTTTGGGGGGGCACTTGGCACATTTCACCGCCGGCCGGGGGAGGGGGGTCTCCTTGATATATTTCTCCGCCGATTGGTGGGGGCGGACCCCCTTGGCATATTTTGCCACCGACTGGGGGGAGCTTAGGATGTTCCCAATGGCCAGTCCGCGCCTACATATTCCATTCATCATACAAATGCTTTTCCCAAAGAGGGCCTTGGGGCAACGGTGATCGCTCACTTTGAATTTATCCGCCTCATTTTTGAAGGTGGACATGGAAAGGAAAATGTAAAATATGACACAGGCTGGCCAACATATTTTTCTAATAATAAAATGTCCATACCGCAGGCCAGTCCATACCAAATTTTGGACCCCATGAAAGCATACCATATTGGGCCCCCGACCCCTTAACGGCACCCCTGCCCAAACACTACTTATTCTTCCAGTACCGGTACCTTTAATTCCCTGCAGGAACATTCGCCCCCGACACAAATGCATGGCACTTCCGGTTATGTTTTTGAGCATCCGGTCAATTCGTCATTTCCGGTGTGTGACCTGAGGCGTCCTACAGATACCGAGGCGCAGGAGACTTGTGTTGCCGTCGCAAGGACATATTCATCATGGTCTACGAGGAGAAGATGATCACCAACGGGGAACCCGACGAGGTGCCAACCTCGACCCGTGTGACTGTCCTGCATAGCTTCTAGCTAGTTGCGTCAATGGAAAGGATGCATTAGCCAGTTAGCTTCTTGGCTAGACGGCGATTTACTCGAATACGAATGTGTGTGTTAGGCCTTCACAGCGGACATGACAAAAGTATGACAATGACTTCTTGTTTTAACGTATGGAGTTAATCGACCGAGGAGGTAAACTGTGAGAAGGTGGCGGCTCTAGTTGTGACCCGCTAACTACAGTAATGACCTGCTTATGACAGAGTGGACACCGGGTCGGTCCGTCCCCACTGATCCCCTGTGATTCTGCAGTCTGGATAACCAAGCAGCCCGGGCTGAGGGGTCCAGACCGTTGTGTTTTCGGTTTTATTTCTTTTAGATAAAAAAGATCAATTACTATTATTAACGTGTTTAAGGAATGGTTTTGCGTCTGAGTTGGCAAGAAACGTTTTAAACTCATGTTTCTTTTTGCAGGAAGAGGAGGAAGAGGAGATGGTGGTAAGTTTAAAAGCAGTTGTTTAAAGTTAGTACATTTGTACAACTATAACATGCTGTTTAATTAAATGGTGGCAGTCGTAAGTAGACTGTTTTTCTTGAGACACAAATTTATAGTGAGAATTCTTTCCTTACCCTGGTATTACGTTGGCACTTCGATGCCCTCAGCACTGTTTGTCCCTCCCAGGACCCGTTGGAGACGGTGCGTGAGAAGTGTGAGCAGACTGAGCACTGCGTCCATACACGGGAGCGCCTGGAGGCGTGCGAGTCCCGGGTGGGCTCGCGCTCCAACACGACAGAGGATTGCACGGAGGAGCTGTTTGACTTCCTGCACGCCAGGGACCACTGTGTGAGTGAGAAATGCTGCTGTTGCCATGTGGGAATGTAGTTCTTTTTTTCTTTTTTTTTGCATTCGCGCACCTTCCAGGGCAGGTCTGTCTGCAAACCTCTGGAAACGAGCTTCTATCCCCCAGTCATCCCCTTTGGCCAATCACAGAACTGTGTCCTATCCTAAGTGTCATCTCATTGGTCAAGAGAGGGATTGTGGTATTCAGGGTGGCAGTATTGTGGATAATTCAGGTGGCTCCTCCTCAGTATGGAGCCAGACTGCAGGTGTTAGTCACACCTGCTTTATTTTGGCTGTTTGTCAGGCTGCTAGACAGCGGTGTCACAGGAGACTCCTTGACTCTGTGTTAATGCTGCTCTCTCACCCCCAGGTGTCACAGAAGGTCTTCGGTTCCCTTAAATAAAGCCGCCTGAGCCCTGATTCCAGCTCTTTCCCTGGCTGCCAGATCCGTGTTAAATTGTGAGGATAATACCGACATAACTGAAGAGCCCCCACGTTTTCCTTTGGAATATGTTTGGGGGTTTTGTCAGACCCCTGCTGTTGTATGTGTTTGTGAATAAATTCAAGTTCGTATTAAGGCCTTTTTGTGTCATTTTTTCACTAAGGAAAATGTTTTGTTTGGTAGGAATGACCTAATGCATATGAGTATGTTGCCTAGTGTAGGCATGGCTAGACAATCTTACTGAAATCTGATACAAATTGTGATTTGGTCGTCCTGATGAGTGTATGTGACCATTGTTTGTTTTTTTATTTATTTTTTTTTATACCAGTTTTTGTCATAAATTCTTGGTTTTCACTTGAAAAAAAATCTAGTTATACAACAAATTGTTAGTGAAGATTTATGCCCAGTATTATGTGAAATGTCTGTAGCTACTAGTAAAAACTGGAAGCAAAATGTGTGTTAAATGGTAAAGAATACTCACAGAATAAAGCAATCCTACATCATTCTAGGGGCATCAAATGTTGGCTGTTTGAATCTCAGCTCCTGCTATGTATATATTCTCCCTGTGTCTGTATGAGTTTCCTTCTGCAGTCCAAAAAGATGGTTAGGTCAACTGGTGCTCCTAAGCTGCATGTGTTTTGCTGTGTGACAGTGTGTACTGTATGATGGGAGATGTTTTGTCCGGTACAGAAGGGTATAAAATGAAACCTATAATTCCATCATTCAGGTTACCTGCTTTCCTCCACTGCGAGGCCCCAGAAACACATAAATGTTTCGGAAATTCAGGTCCGAAGTGACAGAGTGGGTTTTAATTGCGCTGCCCTTGACCGAAGAAGCGGTGTCACGAGGAACTTTATGTCCGAGGTGGCGGTGACGGGGGAACGAGAAGCGCTGCGCACCAACATGGCGGCGCTCAGAGGCACGCAGATCCTGCTGAGAAGGACCAGCCTGTCATGTCGTCTGATTCCGCGGCGGAATCGGGTTAAAACGAAATGGGTAATACGACCTTTCTGAGCGTTCGTAATATTGCTTACAAAAATATGTACTGGAATTAATAGAGAAACGCAGGGGCTGTTCTAGGATTTGACTCTTTGGCGGCTTAGCATCCTGAAATAAAATGGGACGCCAATGAGTGGGGGTACGAAAATACGGGGAAAATATTTTTCAGGGAGACAGAAATGGGTGAGGCTCCCGTAAACGGATTATTGAACCGCCTATTGATTAAAGTATTTTGGAGTGCATAATGGGATGTCTGTACCTTTATACCAGGGGTGGCCAATCTTATCTGCAAAGGGCCGGTGTGTGTGCAGGTTTTTGGGATAACCTGTAGGTCAGTTGTTCAGACCCAGGTGTGAGGACTCTTCAGCCAATTATTCCTGTAATTAGTAATGCAATTAGGGAGTTGCAGTAAAAACCCACATACACAGCTGCCCTTTCTGGATAAGACTGGCCACACCTGTGTTATACTAATACTCTGGTTTATAGTGTATGTATTGGTTCTCTACTGCAGACGTCTGATTCTAATTTTGGCCCAGACCATGTACCTAAAACATTAGCACTCCAGGTTTAAACTCCTGGCTGTCTAAAATGCATTTTTCACTCGTATATGAGACAAACTGGGTGATATGGGCTTCTCTTCTCTTATCTCCTCCCTCCCCAACCCCTCCTCTCATCTACTCCCCTCTCCCCCCATTCCATCCGATCCCCTCCCCTCTCCTTCGCACAGGCAGCGACGTTTCCCAGCTTTCCTGCCACCAGTTTAGCCTTACAGAACTTCGACATGAGCTACGGTGAACAGCTGGGGGCGCTGTGGCCCTCCGCACGGATTAGCATGTTGTGCGAGCAGAAGTATGGGGCGCTCCTCAACAACTTCTCTGAGACAACGGGGCAGGTGTCGGACTTGCAGATGAAGGGAGCCCAGGATTTTGTACTCTGTGGCATTTCAACCCCTGGGTCGGTGCCCAGATCAGACAGGGCTGAGGCGGACCAGGCTGAAGACGTACTGAAATTCAGCCCTGGCATCCAGTGCTTTGTGTTCCCTAAGTCTGACACCTCCCGCTTCAGGCCTGCCAGGTGAGTGCACAGGAGGCCTTACCTCCCTGCGGTTTAGCTGGCTTGCGCTTGTGTTCAAGGTCAGGGGTAGCGGACATGGTCCATGGAGGGACGGTGCTAGTTTTTTGGATGACCTCTCAATCAGCCAGTAATAAAGCAGCGGTTCTCAGCTCCGGCCCTGGGCACCCACTGCTATTGGCTGATTGAGAGGTCATTTGAAACACCCATACCGGCTCCCCATGGACCGGGTTTCGTACCGCTGCTCTAGGTGATGCTGTGTGGTTACGCTGCCTTGTTCATTTCCTTCCAGGCCAGACAGTAGCGGCGTTCTGGGATACTATCTGCTGGATGCTGCGTCCATACTGCCAGTCCTGGCTCTGGATGTCCAGGAGGGGCATTCCGTCCTGGATCTCTGTGCAGCCCCTGGAGGGAAGACCCTGGCTCTCCTCCAGACACACGCTATAAGTAAAGCGTCCCTCCTTTTCCAACATGTCTGCCTCTTCGTTCACTTGCATCCCACTGTTCACCATTTTCTTGTGAGCTGGGACTCGAGGATGTTCTTTTTCAGACCGCGATATTGCAGATTGCACGTGTGTTTGCAGAGAAGCTCACTGTGAACGACCTGTCAGACTCCCGCCTGAAGCGCCTGCGCAGAATGCTACAGGACTACATCCCCAGGGAGATCTGGTCGGAGAACAGGGTTGACATCACTTCCTGTGATGGCAGGACGTGGGGTGAAATGGGGCGGAGCACTTTTGATAGAGTGAGTGTTGCCTTTAGGTGTTAATTTTAGGTGGTGTTTACTGTGTGAAATGGACTGAGATGAGTGGCTGATGTCCAGTTGGATTGTGATGTTATTTCCCTGAACAAATAAACCGTAATGACTTAAAGGTTGTTTTACAGTGTTTTCTGAAAAATTATTCTGTGTCAGATAATGGGCTTCATCCAAGCACCTTCTTCCAGGTTCTTGTCGACGTCCCCTGTACCACTGATCGACACTCCGTTCTGGAGGAGGAGAACAACATCTTCAAGAGGTCCCGCACCAAGGAGAGACAGAGGCTGCCCTTACTGCAGACGCAGCTCCTGGTGTAAGTGGCAGCCTGTCACTGCCCTGTTCACTGGCTCTGTCAGCCCAACTATGGTCTTCTGGTATCACAGCTTCAGTTCCACCAGGGATTTCCTTCTCTGTCTGCATCTCCTAGCATTTTCATCTTTTAGGTGTTGATCAGAGTTTTAGAGAAAGTCCCCTTCATCTTTGTGAGCTGTAAATCATCCCCCAAGGTACTGCATTGTCATATGAGCCTGTCCTTGCGTCTTTCTTCACTGGGCATGTGTCCGCTGCTGTCCCCAGGGCCGGGATGGAGGCGGCGCGCCCCGGTGGCGTGGTGGTGTACTCCACCTGCACCCTGTCCCAGCTGCAGAATGAGTGTGTAGTGGAGCAGGCACTGCGTGTGGCTCAGGAGGAGCTGGACATTGGCGTCCAGGTGGAGGACGTGGGGCCGTTGTCACACATCTTCAGCACCACCTTCTGCTTCGCCCCTGACCGCCGCTTGGGGGCGCTGGTGGTACCGCACCTCACAGCCAACTTTGGCCCCACCTACTTCTGCAAGCTGCAGCGGGTGCACTAGGCCGCGATCCAGCACCCTTCTGTTCCCCAGCGGACACTCCTGGAGGGGCCCCCTCGGAGAGAGGCTGTCCCGCAAGGCTGACGTGACCTCCACTCAGCCTTACCTTCACTATTCACATTCCGTAGAAGCTGCGGGACTCCTGAGAGTCGGACTGGGCTGCGACAGCGGAGACTCTGCCATTAGTGTTAGCTGCTTCTCGGATAAGCTGGTGAGGGGTACTCCGGGGGCCAGTGTGCCGAACTGTGTCCATTTAGTGTGTATGTACACTGTGGTTTATAAATCAAATATTAAAATTTACTAGTCAGTCGTATGCTGCTTGTATATTCTGAAGCTGGTTTGCTGATGTTCCTCTGACAACCCAGTGGTCAGTAATCCTAGGCATCTTTCTTTTAATTGGATCGTTTATGTTGTTGAGCTGGTAATTTTTTAGTCTAGCATGTGTGTTGTCTGCACTTCCCCATGGTTGCCAGTAGGTGGCAGCAGGAGACAGCCATACTGTGGTGTAGCATTTCTGCTGTTGACAGCTGTAGTCCTGTGGCTGCCGAGTGTGAGCGGGACACGTTCGGAAATCTCACATCCCTCTCACACTAACAATACCTGTGGGCACGAAAAAGTGTGAAGCTTGTGAGAAATCAAAGACTCATGATACACGAGATCACACTGTTACTCTATAAGACACATCTGCTAATTGAAAAGCAAAATGAAAATGTTTTTTTAAATAGTCCAGGCAATTGCTCGTGTTTTTACCCTTATGCACAGATGTAACCATGAATAAATAACCCCCCCCCCCCCCCACACACACACACACATTAATTTAATTGAATGTAATTGATACAAGATATGTCCCATTGTATTACAATTCAAGCAAGATGCAAGGTCCCATTCATAAAAAGGCCAATAGAACAACAAACACATTTATCTTTGTATAGCTCCTTCCAATCACCAGGCAACCAGAAGGCAGGCAGCGGGTCACACATGGAGGACGACAGGCAGAACGGCGGGCTGGATGAACAGACGTCATTGGTAGTGGCAACGTCTCATGTAGCAGAGTGTGCTGGACATCTTGATAGATTTCATAGACAGTTCGATGAGTGCAATATGAAGTGCAATGTGCAAGCTCCGGTAGATATCGCTATGGCAGCATATGTAGGAGGGAGAGGCAGGTGGGAATGCAGGCATGTCCAAGAAATGACAGCTCTCCAATCCCACAAGCGATTGTGAAGAAATCACACCGATCCCCACCCAGCTCTACACCTCACACTGTAGGTCTAACTGGGAGTGAACAGTTAGCTAGAGCTAGAACTAGAGTCTCTATAAGCTAAACTATTGGGTTTATGTCAATAGGTCCAGCCTTGTTAAAGCTGCACCATCGCAGCCCTCCTGCTGTGTATCTGAACCTGCATGTCTGTGTACTGTCGGTGTATGTACTGTCAGTGTATGTCTGTGCTGTCTGTGT